TTTTTTTTTTTTTAATTCAAGGATTTACGAACGTTTTATTATAATTTGAACTAATCTTTAAAAATATGCAATTCAATAAAATTGTGCAATTCAAATTGTCTCATAAATTATAAATCATTCGACTTTCCCAGTTTCAAAGCATATCTTGAAGAATGGTGTTGTAGGAAACGGCTTGCCATATATAAACTTGGCGCGGTTTGATTTAATACTTCAACCAGATCCTTTCGTTTTCAATCACTTTCACCGAAGTTGTTGCGTCCAACTTTTACCGCAGAAGCGAATTTATTTATAAGGAAATACACGACGATTGTTTGATTCCCCTCTGAGCCACAAAGTTGACTCTTTCTACTTGAAATTCAGAAAAAAGTATCGATCATTTGCAAAAGAGCAGAGATTTCTTGCGTAAAACTGTTTACGAAGAAATAAATTTGTCCTCCGTTGAAATAGAATTTATGGTCGGCTATCGTCGAAATAATAGGCTGATCTTTACATCATTAAATCGATCTGTTGCATCAGTCTGTTTGCACCTCTTTAGATTTTTATCGATCCATTTCGAGCGTTGCCTTTGATCGAGCGAGAAAGATTTACACGCGTGCTATTTATGAACAGATCAGTGAAAACGTGGCCGTCGGACGACACACATCTCGTACCGTGGTGACGTAATGATACTTACATATCAGAGAGACGCTGGCTTCCTTATTTTTCTAATTTCTTTTTACGGAAGCGGCTTCCGCGTCCGCTTAACCACTGTAAAACACGAATAGAAAATAGCCTGCTGTCAGTAGCGGGCTCGTTAGTGTTTGCTCGCTTGCGATTGCGAGTACGAATGCTAAATATACACGAATAACTTCATTCCTTCTCTCTCGACGAGTTTAACGCTGCAATTGAGCAAAATGAAATGAGATTTAATTCTCAAGGAGGGACTCAAGGTTCCTTATTATTAAAAAAAGAAAAAAAACTACGGACCTGATAATAGCTGAAGACAAACAACAACTATTATACAACGATATCAATCGAGTTGATTAAAAGTTTGCTTGAAAGTCAGATTGAAAAATTTGAAAACTTTGATGGGGTCTTAAAAGTCAGATCTAAAAACTTTGATTTAAAAATTTAAACTTTGAAAGATTAAACGTTGATTAAAAGTTTGATTGAAAGTCAGATTGAAAAATTTGAAAACTTTGATAGGGTCTTAAAAGTCAGATTTAAAAACTTTGATTTAAAAATTTAAACTTTGAAAGATTAAACGTTGATTAAACGTTGATTAAAAGTCAGATTTAAAAATTTGAAAACTTTGATGGGGGAAAGTTACAGAACACAGCACGTTGAAAATCCCGGCTGTCAATTAATTCTACGTGGAAGTTGCAAAGCGTATCGAATATTGCGCAATCGCGTGCACATAAGGCGCAAAAAATCGCGGAAGATGTCGCGTATCGAATCGTTTATCATACTCGCGATTTCTTTGCGATGCTTTTACCTTTCGTTCCGTAACGCTTTCATTTAACGTCGCAGCTGTCCAAGAGAAGAAAAATGAAAAGGCACAACGATTTTCGTTACGATACAATTTTTTTTTCCTTTCGATCACGTTTACAAATAATACAATTGCAAAAAAAAAGAAAAAAAAAGAAGAAAAAGAAAACAACTATAAACGTGTAAAGAGAGACGTATTTCCTTACCGACGTAGTAGTACTGAAACGTATAAATCGCTAAGTAGCCGCTAGATATTATTATTAATGCTAACGAGAGAATAGTATTTACAAATGTGAATAAACAAGTGCGCTTTTGCATGGTCACCACCGACAAGAAAAAGCTACAAGTAACATCGTTATCGTGAACGTTAATTACGCTAGATCCGCTCCTTCCCTTATGTCCTATTCGTTTTACGAGGGAATACGCAGCGTATTTCTCTCGTCTCCTCGCGAGAAGAAATTTTTGTTTCGTTCCTGATGACGCGGAATGATTTTCCCTCGGTGAGAAGCACGTCAATTTTTTACCTTCTCGCGAGACGAACGAAATACGCTACACTTCGTAACGTCGCTTTTCGCTATTCTCTGCTCGAGTATCCAGCTGTAAAGTCTTACCCGTCTTACCCGCTTCTTGCTCGCTCCTCGTCCAACCTTACCGCTAATAAATAGATTAGATAAATGCAACGAGCTCGACGATCGTCGACCCGGCGTCGCGCGTATCGGAGAAAATATTCGTTGTCAGAACAGTGTCGAATATGGCGTTCGCCGGTGCGTGTGAAACGTGTTTTCACGTGATCAGGGGAGGGCCGGATCCACGCCTCTCTCTCGATCAGTTTATTCTCCACACATACGGGAATACGTGCGCATAGCTTTCCACGGAATCGAGTCGTAGGACGCGTTAGATTCGAATCGATTCTCACACTTGCGACAGGGAATGCAAATAGAAAGTTCGTTCGGCCCGAGTAGAATGTCTCTGCGCGGCGGACCACGCCAATGAAAGTATGCTACAGTTCTCCGCCATAGAAGGCTCCGCACTAATATCTCTCTTTCTCTCGCTCCGGTTCACGCTTGCAAAATTCGCCGTAACCATTGCAAAACGACGATTTTACTCCCGATATGTAGCGGATCCTGCCGGCGATCCGCGCGTGTTCCGATGGTTTTGGAATCGAATGTCGCCGACTGCAGGTGCAAGATGAAAGGTAGCATTCGCAAACGGGACGTGAAAGTCGACCGAGGGCTTGGAATTTTATAGAAATTAACGCCGACTCGCGTGTTCCCCGTGATCCTTCGCAACATTACGAACTGTAGATGTTTGTGCAAATTCGAACACAGAATATAAATGAGGTTTGATTCGTTTTTTTTTTTTTTTTTTTAAATATTTTCTCATGTATAAATGCATGAATATCCACAGCTCTATTATGAATATTAAATTATCTGAAACTTGTTGTTACGATAGAATTTCATTT